ATGACTATGACTATGGCTGTGATTCATAGTTCAGTGAGGTTAGGTTGATGACTATGACTATGGCTATAACTATAATTCTTAGTTGAGTGAGGTTAGGTTGATGAATATTCACTGATTTTTTATATGAAGAAAAAAATGATTGAATCAAATTCCATAAACAAATAATGATCATCAATCAAAAAAAAATGATTTTTTTTTGCTGATGAAAATGATACAGATGGTGCATTGCATCCATTACATTTTTCTTCTTAATTCAAAAAAAAAGAAAACTGTCCAATGATGATGATTAATACATTGAATGTATATCACACACACACACACAAAAAAATCAAGAATCATTTTCTAATGAATCAATGAATGAATGGTCGTTATCATCATCATCACACATCATTGAAAAGCAATCAGAAGAGAAAAACAAAACTCCAATCAAAAGCAATTCATGATTAATTGATATATTTTTTTTCCTATCAAAAATTAATAATGATTCAGAAGAAAGAAAAACTGTTTTTCTTTTCGTGCAAATAAATAAATAAATAAACGATACGACCGATCAAAAACAAAAATTAATGGATGAAAAATTATATGGACTGAATGGACTGAATGGATTGCATATGGCACACACACTTATTTTTCTTTGATAAGATTACATTTGATAATGATAATGATGATAGCTAAACTAAACAAAATATAAGGCAGGTGTCATCATTATCATTATTATGTTTGAATTTATGTTTTTTTTTTTGCTGTAGCCAATTATCTGAGACAAAAAAAACTTTCCAGATCTAAATATTGATGATGATCATTATTACACACACACAGCCATTTTCATTTATAATAATTTTTCCTCTAAACAGCGCAATAATATTCATAAATTTTCTGGACAACCAAAAATTGTCTGTGTGGTCTGGTGTTTGAACACAACCAGACCAGAAATGTAAATGAATGTAATTTATTTATTTGTAGGATGTCATTATTTTTCTTGCATTCAAAAACCAGAAAAACAAAACAAAACTTACCATCTTCCAATGATGAAATAACCCAAAAATCAATAGTTTTATCTTTACCCAATTGTTCATAATCCCATGGTTCTTTTACTTTAACCGCTCCGTTTGGATCAACCGTAACCCATTTGTTTGGTGTTTCCAGACGAAATTTTTCATTTGGTTGACGACGATCCAATTGAAAAACAACCATACCCGGTGTTGAACCATCTGATTCTTTAAATTCATATGTTTTTGTATGACGAATTTCACGTTTTGCACGTGCACGTGCAATTGAATCATTATTATCTTTATCATCAGATTCTGTTCCAGAATCATTATCGTTATCATCCGGAATCTCTTCACTTTGACTAATTTTCGAATCATTCACATCATCATTATCATTATTATAAGTATCTTCACGATAAATTTCAACAATAATTGGTATTGGTTGTGATGAACGACGTTCAGTTGCTGGACGACGATCATCCGTTGCATAACATTCAAATTCATAACGTTGTGGTATTCGTTCGGAATGTTTTATTAACATTATTTGGCCAGTTTTTGGTATAATAACAAAATTTGGATGTCTTTCCGTTAGATGATATACAACTGAATCAGTTTCATCTAAATCTTTTGCAGTTACATTACCAATAATTGAATATAATGGTTGATCTTGTGGTATATAAAATTCATATAATGAACGTTCAAAAATTGGTTGATTATCATTTTCATCATCAATCATAATACGTAATGGTACTTGAGCGAAAAAATTATTATTATTATCAGTTGAACGTGCTGATAGAATATAATCATAATATGGTTTTGATTCACGATCTAATGATCTAGTTGAAACAATCAATATTGATGTTTGATTTATCAAACGAAATGGTTGTTGATTATTACGTTGATTATTATGATGTCTTTTAACAATATGATTATCATCCATATCATCGATTGGATTGTTGTTATTTAAATCATAATCATTTTCAATTAATTGAAACATAATTGTACCATCATTAACTAAATTTTCATCATCAATCAAACGAAGACGTTCAAAACCTTCAACCAATGTTAGCGAAGGTTGATTTTCCAATAAATGTCCTAATGCTGATGGTTGATTGAAACGTATTTTATTAACACGTGTATTATTATAAACATTAATACGAAATACACGATCACGAACATAGAATGGTGTGGCATCTTCACGTACAGCCAAAAATACTGGTTTATTAACCAAATCTTTTAAATCTCTTGTTGTCATTAATAGTCCATCGGATAGTAATGTAAAATGTGTTTTCGATGATTTCGGTAATGATGATGATTCATCTTTATCATTATCATCATTCGTTGTTGATGATGACACCATTTCATAAACATGACGTTCCAAATCTTCTGAATCGGATGCAAATATTGAAACCAAATTCAAATCTGTATCCGATTCAGCTAACAAACGAAATCTTGGTTCGATATGTGGTTCAACAACAATTGAATTAGTAGTCAATATTGTTTCTTGATTCTTAATGTTGTTGTTATTTTGAAGATGATTATTATCATCATCAATATCTGATAATGTTAATGAAACATCATATAATGGTTTGGATGTAAATTTTAACCTTAATACTTCATAACCAATATATGCATCATGTGGTACGGCTACAACTTCTTCGGCCATACCTTGATCAACATGATAATTATTTACGACAACAACATCATCTAATGTTGATGGTAATGGTAATGGTGATGATGATGATGATGACTGATGATATTGATAATGATGATAATGATGAGGATGACTGGATGTTACTACAGTTGAAATAGCCACATTGAATTGATTCAATATGATTAATGAATAGAATAATATTAATATTATAAATGAAATATTCGTTGTTGACTGTTTTAAGGTAGAAATAGTCGTTGATAAAATTTTTGATGGCAATTTTGGTAAAGAATGAAAATAATTTTGTCGATTTGTCGACGACAACATTGTTGTTCTATGTTGTTGTCGATGTCTATTATTATTGTCGTTGTTGTTTACCATCATCATTTGATGATGATGGCTACTTCGTGTTAAATTATTAACACGATGTTTTCTATGATTATGATTAATCAGAGAATTTAATGATGGTAAATTGGTGGTTGGATGGTCCATGGTTGTTGCTGCTGCAAGATGTTTTAAACTTTTTTCAAAATGATAATTTCATCAACAACAACAACATCTAATCGGATGATCAATAATAATGATGAACATTATTGATTTTATGATGAAATCAACTGATGATAATTATGATGTTTGATGATTCAATTGAACCGTTGCCTATTTGAGGAAGAGAAGAAAAAAAATTGAATTAAAATTTTTGTTTTTCAATCAAAAAAATCATTGAATTTAGATGGCTTCTATAGAGCAGAACAAAGCAAAACACACACACACACATTTTGAATATGAAAAATGAATTTGAAAAACTTTTTGTTTTTGCTTTTTGATCTGGAATTATAATTCCAAACAAAACAAAACAAAACTTTCATTTGTATTATTGACGTCATTGAGAATTTGGTTGAAAAGAAACTTTTTTTTTGTCAAATCAAATGGAAAAGAAAGAAATGTCAAAATAGGAAAAAAATCAATGCTTGAATATTGGGCTTTTTTTCACACATAATTTATCGGAAAACATTTGAAACCAGCAGCCAGCCAGAAAAGTTTCAAACTTCTTTTGCCTTAATTTATGATTATTCCAAACACACTCCATTAATACTTTTTTTGATCTTTGAAAATTGATTTTTGTTTTTATTCAAAAATCTTTAAAAATCTTTTTGCAATTTGGCTCACCATCAAACCGCCCACCCGAAAAAAACTTGAAAAACCAACTCTTAAACGCATTGAAAATGGATGACAAAAAAACCTATGGAAAGCCAAGAATGATGATAATTTCGTTTCATAATTGTTATAATTGTTACTCCGTTTTTGTTACTAGAGCAACAAAAAACATGATGATTAAAGAAAGAAAATCAAGGAATGATGACCTAACTTGTACATTGACTGACCAGCAACAACAACAACAGGTATAAATGACAGAACCGGTTATTCATTCATTTATATTGTTGTTGTTGTGCCAAACTGATGTTTATGATGATAGGAAGCTTTTATTTCTTTCGAAGCAGGTTTTTTTTTCTCCATCTTCATCATCATCATCATCTCAGTCTTCGTTTGCGAAATTCGATACAACCAAACATCAACAACAAACAACAACTTTGACAATCAAAAAAAAAATAATCACCTAAAAATGAATGAAAAACACCTGTGTGGCTAGTTTGTTTGTTTGTCGTTATCACATTTCACCATTTTGAAAAAAGAGTGCTGGGGAGAGAGAGAGAGATAGATGTGATAAATAAATATTTAACGAAACATTTTCTTATAGCCCAGGTATCTCATAAATGATGATGATTGATATGATATGATATGGATAGGATTGAATATCATCAAATATATGATAATGTACCTGTGGTGGTGGTGGTGTAATGAATAAAACTATTTAAAAAAACCAACCGATAAACCTTATTTCTGACTAAGCAATAATTAAACATCCATCATCATCATCATCATCATCAACAAACATTTAAAAAATTTTAAAAAAATTTTAAAAACTTCAATTGATTGATTGATTATGTCATTTTTTTCCAGTACTTAGAAGATAATGTTTACGGTAGAAAAAAAAAACATTCGAGGATAACGAACCATTTGATGATTCATCATTCGTTGAACAATGAAAAAAACAAGAAATGAATGATAAGAATTCAACCCGTAACAACCACAATAAAAAACATGAAAAAAAATTCAATTCTTTTGTTGTTTTTGAAAACCACAAACAAAAAACAATGGTTGTTCTTTACCAGACACTTAGATCATTATCACTATCACTACCACCATCATCATTTTGATATTCGAGTAAAATTCCATAAAAAATAACAAATATTTAGAACAAAAAAAAAGGGGTAAAGGTATATTTTTACCTATGCAAGTTTCAAAACTCAATTAATTTATTCACACCATTTTATTATTAAACACAGAAACAGAAAACAAAAAAATCATCACATGGTAAAAAATCATCATCATCATCATCAACGATGACGAAGACAACGATCGATACATTTTAACTCTACAGTAATAATCACATCATCATCATAATCATTTTGGACACTTGTTGTTGTTTGGATATACATTAACAACACGAATCTAAATCATATCACATCACATCACATCAGTTATTATCATACCAGTTTCTCACAACACATCATTAATCATCATTGGAAATAGAAAAACTGATTGTCTAATTTTGATAAACAAAAAGTTTCTCGCACATTCACACACACACACAGTCGATATATTCATCTATTCATTTCCATGATGATGATAAAGAAAATTTTCAATGGCAAAAAAATCCATAGTGAAATTGTCAAATGTCATTTTGGGTTTGCTCTCTTTATTATTAACATAGGGAAATCGTAATGTTTAAATTAAATTAAATCAAATTCACACACACACACACACAATGGGAAAAAAATGATGAGAAAATGATAAAAATCTTAGAAACCAAAAAACCAAAAGAATAATTTTTGCTTTTTTGAAATTCCCACCAACAAATGTCAAGTTAGCAGGTTGTCGCATGTGTGTGTGTGATGCGTGTGCTGTGTTAAAACAACCGTTATATCGACATCGTTTACTCCCATATAATAATAAGGATGCTATCGAATATTTTCAGTTTGTATTTGTCAAAAACACAGTATAGTAATATGTTTGTAGCTAAATAATTTAAACCCGGCTTTTCATTCATGCATATGCATCTTTACACAGCAACAACAATAAATAAACAGACAACCAAAACTATTACAACAACAACAAAGAAATTATCTAACCAACCGTTATGACTCATCAAAAAAATGAAATAATTTCTTTTCCAAACCAAACATCATTTCAGTTCAATGGAAAATTCATAATCGTGATCATCATCAAAATGAATGAATGAATAAATAATCTTCTTCTTCAACAAACATCACACATCATCATGAATAATGATGATAATAGTGGTGGTTTTTTGTTTTGTTTTGAAGAAAGAAAGAAAAAGTCTTTTTTTTTCTCCACAAAATTGCAATTGTATTACATCAAATACACACACTTGCACTACTCCTACATACAAAAACACATAACAGCAACAATGATTATTCAAGAAATCATCATCAATAGTAACCGTTTGTAGAATATATCTTCTACCATAGCATCATTTAAATGACTAAGTGTGTGTGTGTGTGTGTGTTTGAAACTGTCCTATTAGTTGGTTGTTGATGATGGGTATTCTAATAATAGTATTTTACTATCATCAAATACATGAAAGTCAAGAAAGAAAGCATCAATTTTTGATGCAATTGATGCACACACACTCGAGCATCGTCACAGAATTATTCATTCAAAAGAAAATTTTTCATACAAAAAACGAAAATAATGATGGGATCGACCATCATGATGTAGTTTTTCGACGACATCAATTTGAATGACACATGAAAACGAAAAATGATAACAACCAAAACAAAACAACAACAAAAACAAATAACTAAACTACCATTTGAATGAATCACATAGTAACGAAACAACAAAAGTAACAGGAGAAACTTCCGTCGAAACATTTTTTTTGTTGTTTTTTAATGAATGAATTGAATTGAAAAAACCGGAATACAAAATTGAAAAATTGCCAACAACAACAAACAAACAAACAAAGGATGATTTTTTGTCAAAATGTACGGTGTACACCTGTACATTTCTTTCTTATTAATCAATTAGCAATTAGCAATCGATGGAAAATTGAATAATTTTTTCCAATTCGCTTTTCTCCCTTTCTCTCTCTCTCTCTTGGTGTGCAGAAAAACAGAAAAAATTCAATCCAAAAAAGCGAAAATGTGTCAAAAACAGACAAAAAAATCACTTAATCGCAGAGATTATGATTCTGTTTTTTTCGATTTTAATCCCACAGAAAAAAAATGAAAAAATTTCAATTCAATCAATGACCTTTTTGCATCCAGAAAGCCAAAAATCAAAATCAAACAAACAAACAAACAATCATTACCATTCATTTGACCATCACCATCATCTGACGAATAACAATCTAAAATGGAAGGACAACAGAAAAAAAAACTTTCAAACATTTCTTTTCATTTTGTTTTGTTAGTGGTCAAACAAAACAAACGAAAATTCGATTAACAACAAAAAAAAAGCCAAGATCATTAAAACCATCATAAACTGGTGTGTGTGTGTGTGTGTGTGGAAAATAAAGCCAGTAGTAGCCATTCTTTTAGTTCAGTTCAGTAGCCATTCATTTGTTGTGGACAAACTTTTCGGTTTTCAATAATAAAAGAAAATTGTAGCTACTTGAAATGTCATCATAATCGAGAAAAGAAAATTGAAATTTATCATCATCTATGGATCACATATATGGCTTACATTTTCTCATTGGATGAATAACACACCAGACAAATTCCCAAAATCAGAATAGAATCCAGAAATCAAAATCAAACCAAACAAAGTCTATTATAATGGTTGATATCCAAAAAATGACTACTGCAAATTTCAACAAAGTTTCTTTCGTAACGAAACAGAGAAAAACTTTTTCTTTCTATGTTTGATATATAGTGAAATAGCTTGGAATCAAAAGCTTCCCCCCATTGAAAAGAAAAAAAAAATGATTAACTCATTTCGAGGCAAATGAAAACAAAAAAAAAAAGTCTGGAATTTTGTTTTTGATTAGATTGGAAATAGCCAAACAAATTTGTAAACAAATTAAATTAGATTTAGGGATTATTATTTGTGAAAATCTTTAATAAAAACAAAACAACAAAAATAATCGAAAATAACGTTTGTTTTTTTTTTTTGGTAAACAACCAAATCATCAAAAGCAAATTCAAAATAAGCTTAGCTAAACAAAATATGAAAAAAAACTGAACAAAAATATGAAAATGAAATTCAAGAATGACATTTTGATTCTTCTTCTTCTTCTTTTAGCTCAATTAAATCTTTGATTGATGATATGATCAAACCAACGACATATGGTATATTATGTGACAAATGTTTATTTGATTTTTTTTTTTTGAAAAACAAGAATCATTCTTCATTAAAGATTTTTTATTTTGTTTTTTAAAAAACAAAAAAACAGGTTCCCACAAGCTTTGAATGAAGTGAAAAAATTTTCAAGTT